ACTTTGGGTATGTGCAAATCTTCAATCCTTCTAGGTATTGCCAAGTTGCTTATCAAAATAGTTGTATAAATTTATTTTCCCACCATATAAACGTTTGAGTTCTTGTTCTCTCATGACTCACCAACCAGGGGAGTCTTTCTCAAGCACTGAATGATAAAGTCAGAATGACAATGTGATTAGTTTAAAACCTCAATTTCATTAGATATAATATATTTTTTGTATTTTCATTAAAACTGGAACAATATGTTTTTCACATTTGGAGTTAGTATGATGTTGGGATTTACATTAACTATTTTTAATAGTAATTTTCCTAGTTGATAAGAAATATATACATAAGTCTTGGGACGCCTGGGTGACTCAGCAGTTGACCGTCGGCCTTTAGTTCAGGGTGTGATCCCAGGATCCAGGATCGAGTCTCACATCAGTCTCCTGGAATGGGGCCTGCTTCTCCCTATGTCTAGGTCTCTGCCCCTCTCTCTGTCTCTTTCTTTGTCTCTGTCTCTCTCTCTTTCTGTGTCTCTCATGAATAAATAAATAAATAAATAAATAAATAAATAAATAAATAAAATCTTTTAGAAAGAGATATCAAAGTCTTGTATCTATTTTTGATTTCCCCGTTATGCTTCGATGGCCAAATTCTTCATCTCTGAGTCAATGTCACCCTGTATAATTACTATGGATTTATAATCAGTGTTTATTGACTATCTACTCAGTCCCAGCATATAAATTTACGAGGGCTGCCAACAACTCACCACAGACTTGGTAGCTTAAAGCAACAGAAACATATTCTCTCACAATTCTGGAGTTCTGAAGTCAAAATTAAGGTGCAGTTAGTTAACTATCTTTCCAGAAGCTCTAGAGGTATATCTCTACTTCTTCTAATTTCAAATGGCCACAAGGCATTGTTTGGATTGGGACTGCTTAACCCCAAACTCTGCTTATGCCCTCACATGGCCTTCTCTTCTCCTCTGTGTGTCTGTACGATACTTTGACATATGTATACACTGTGACATGATTACCATACCACAATCAAATCTAATTAACCTACCTTTCACTTCATGTTTACCTTTTTTCCCCCCCTGTGGTAAGAACACTTGAGATCTAGTATCTTGGCGAATTTTAAATATACAATATGTGTTATTAACTTATTTTAAATATGCAATACCTAATAATTATTATTAATCATATTTTAAGTTATTTGCACTATAACATATTTTATCCTTACAAGTTGTTGCTGTTATTAGTATTATAGTTTTCTAGTAGTCAATGATCATTTAGATTTGCCCTGATATTTACCAGTTCTTATATATACCATTACTGCTTTCTTCCTGCATTTTTTCTTTTTAGCTCTTTTTTCATTGTTCCAATATTATTTTTTATAATAGTTCATGAGCAAGCCTAAGAGTTGTAATTTCTTAAAACTTTTGATAATCGAAAATGTATCTTTTGCTTCTTTTTTTCACTTGCACTACTGTATTTAGTATTTTCTATTTAATTATATTATTTTGCACTTTAAAGTTTTATTCCATTGCATTGAATTTCTTTATTTTATTTTTATGGTGAACTACCTTTTCTTTTTCTTTAAGATTCTCTAAACAGATGTGATGCTGTTCTGGATTTATTTTCTTTCTTTTTTTTTTTCTAAAGATTTTATCTATTCATTCATGAGAGACACAGAGAGAGAGAAACAGAGAGAGAAGCAGGCTCCATGCAGGGAGCCCGAGGCAGGACTTGATCCCGGATCTCCAGGACCATGCCCTGGGCGGAAGGCAGGCACCAAACCACTGAGCCATCCAGGGATCCCTGGATTTATTTTCATTCACTGTACAAAACTTGTCAAATTTTTGAAATGGGACTTCTTTTATTTAATGATTTATTGAAAACTCCTTCTGAATTGCACCTGAAATGTCTAAAAATGTTCTTTAGAACATCTCAATATATCTTTTGTAATTTTATTCACTTCTCTGTAATATATCTGTGTTCTTCTTATTCTTTCTTCATCTGTATTTAACAGTTTTTTAATTCACTAACTTGTGTTTTTATATGTCTTATTTACCAAATTTTGTTATTCTTTTTAATGTATTTACACATTATATAGTTATAAGTGTAATTACATATTTACCCATTATATAATATATGTGTAAACATAATATTATATATAAGCATATAAATATTATGTTTGAATATATTATATATTAGATCTTTCCGAATTTCTCTTAATTTAGTTATTATCATGAATCCTTATAATCCTGCTGTTTTTCTTCCAATTTTCACTAATGATAAATTTTTTTTTTGAAGATTTTGTTTATTTATTCATGAAAGACACACAGAGAGAGAGAGAGAGGCAGAGACACAAGCAGAGGGAGAAGCAGGCTCCATGCAGGAAGCCCGACGAGGGACTCGATCCTGGGTCTCCAGGATCACACCCTGGGCTGAAGGCCGTGCTAAACCGCTGATCCACCCAGGCTGCCCAATAAATTATTTTTAATTTTATGTTTTGCAATCTTTGTTTGTAAATTTATTCTGAACAGAGTTTTAGATGTAATTGTTTCCCTTGTGGCAATTCCTTGTGTTTGGGTAATCGATTATTTCCCCAGAAAAAAAAAAATAATACATATATATATATATATTTTTTAATTGCATCTTATCTAATGTTACATAACTCATGGGAAATACTGACTTTAGACTAATTTTTATTTCAGTTTCTCATGTTTAAGTTTCCTAGAGCACATGAAAACTACAAATTCCTATTCGATATTGAATAAAGCATAGTATACTAATGGTAAATTCTCAACTCCTTTCTTTTTTAAAAAGTTAAAATCAAGGCTTGCAAACAAATAGAAAATGAATATACTTTAAAGAGGTTATTTAATTAATTAAGGAAGCAAACAGTACAATGTATTTAAATGACACAAAATACATCTGAGAAGCTGGCATATTTAGAAGTTATTTTAAAAAAGAATGTTAGGGATCCCTGGGTGGCGCAGGGGTTTGGCGCCTGCCTTTGGCCCAGGGAGCGATCCTGGAGACCCGGGATCGAATCCCACGTCGGGCTCCCGGTGCATGGAGCCTGCTTCTCCCTCTGCCTGTGTCTCTGCCTCTCTCTCTCAATGTGTGACTATCATAAAAAAAAAAAAAAAAAAAAAAAAAAAAAAAAAAAAAAAAAAAAAAAAAAGATGTTAGGGTATGATGGCTGACTTAGATATAAAACATGGATTACTGCAGGGTCATGAATCTGTGAGGTTATTTGTTTCTACTAGGTATAAATATTTGTGTCTTAATAGAACAAAAATTAAAAGAACAAGTCTCTACTGGGACTCTGGGGGAGGGAAGGTCAGTGGTTGAGTGTCTGCCTTCAGCTCAGGGCATGATTCTTCGGTCCACATCATATTCCCTGCAGGAAGCCTGCCTCTCCCTCTGCCCATGTCTCTGCCTCTCTCTGTCTCTCATGGATAAATAAATAAAATCTTTTAAAAATAAAAAAAAAAGAACAAGTCTCTACTGAAGAAACCTCCCCCCCTTGTAAGTAGGGCCAGCCCTAATCCAGAGGCAGCCCATCCAGTCTTCTTCCTGAAATTTTAGCAACTAAAAGCATTCTGTTTACAATAAGAAAACCGTTTTCCCCCCCCACACCCTGATTGGAATGTCCCTGAATAGGTTCATGTTGACCCTCCCCAAAATCAACCTGGATGCCATGCGACTCCCGCGGTTCTTTTGTCTTTAGGAAGGTTCTTTCCTTTTGCCTTTTAAAAGACACCTGTAATTGCTAATCGGGGCTCTTTTCCTCCTCGGAGGCGGAGAGCCCGTTTGCGCAAACGTTCAATAAACCCTCTTGCTAATTGCATCTGCCTGTCTGGGGTCTGAGTCTCTGGGGCGTCCACCGGGCCACGTTGGCACCCGTGAGCCAGGGTCCAACATTTGGGGGCTCGTCCGGGATCTGAGACGCCCCAGACTCAATCCTAAGACTGGCAGGAGGTAAGACCGAGCTCGCTAAATGTCCTATCTGTCTCGTCCGTTTGTCTGACTGGCCGGGTCTGTTTTGTGCCGGGTCTGTATTGTGCCTGCAGGACGCTGTACTCTGTATTCTGTATTTGGACCAGCGGGGGAGGCAGACGTGCCCAAGACCCCTGGTCCCCCTCCGGAGTCGGACTCCGGAGTGGTCTGGAAGAGGAACGGAGCCCCGGCACTCCCTCCTCTTCGGGGAGGGTCGTGGTTCGCGACCGCTCCCATCTGAATCTGCCGCGCCAGTCCTGTCGTTCGTGTGCGTCTGTTCGTTCCGTGTTTCTCTTCCTTTCCTGTCCTCCTCCTCACCGCTCACCCCTTCTCTACACCCATGGGGCAGACTGTAACCACCCCTTTAAGCCTCCCTCTAGATCACTGGAAAGAAGTCGCCGGCCGGGCACACAATCTCTCGGTCGAAGTCAGAAGACGAAGATGGGTCACCTTCTGCTCCTCAGAGTGGCCGCTTTCAACGTCGGGTGGCCCAGGATAATACTGACATTATCTTGCAGGTGAAGGCCCTAGTCTTCCAGCCAGGACCCAATGGACACCTCCACCAGCCGACCTAGGATGACCGCCAACAGCTCCTGCAGACTCTCCTCACCACGGAGGAGAGACAGCGCGTCCCGGGGGCGGATGGGAGGCCGACCCAGCTGCCTAATGAAATTGAGGATGTTTTCCCCTTGGTTCGCCCGACCTGGGACTACGACACTGTTGCTGGTAGGGAGCGGCTCCGTCTCTATCGCCAGGTACTCCTAGCGGGTCTCAAAGGGGCAGGGCGTCGCCCCACCAATTTGGCAAAGGTACGTGCTATAGTGCAGGGAAAAGAGGAGACGCCGGCAGGTTTTCTGGAGAGGTTAATAGAAGGCTATACTGGCCACCGTAGTACAGGGCTCGGGGCAGAGTAAGTCAGGACAGAGTAGGGACCTGGGAGACAAAAGAGGACCACGGGTTGAACGAGACCAGTGTGCCTACTGCAAGGAAAAAGGACATTGGGTTAAAGATTGCCCAAGGAAGGGCCAAACGCAGGGACCTAAAAAGAAGCCCATTCCTGTTTTGTCCCTAGAAGATGAAGATTAGGGGTGTCAGGGCCAGGAACCCCCCCCCCGAGCCTCGGATAACCCTTAAAGTGGGGGGACAGCCGGTGACCTTCCTGGTCGATACGGGAGCTCAACATTCAGTTTTAACTGAGGCAAAAGGACCCTTGAGCTCTAAAACGTCTTGGGTTCAGGGGGCAACTGGAGGCAAGTTATATCGATGGACAACCGAACGGAAGGTCCACCTGAGCACTGGGCAAGTAACGCATTCCTTCTTACTGGTCCCAGACGGCCCTTACCCTCTCCTAGGCAGAGACCTTCTTTCAAAAGTAGGGGCCCAGATACATTTTCAGCAAAAAGGGGCCACTATTACTGGCGCAGGAGGGCAGCCCCTCCAGGTACTGACCTTGCGCCTAGAGGATGAACACCGGCTGCACGAGGACTCTCCACCGTCCGTGCAGCCCCTAGATTCTGAATGGCTCACTAACTACCCTCAGGCCTGGGTGGAAACGGCCGGAATGGGACTAGCTGTAAACCAGCCGCCCATAATTATAAACTTAAAACCCTCGGCCACCCCCATATCGATCCGGCAATATTCAATGAGCAAAGAGGCCAAAAAAGGCATTCGGCCACATATACAGAGACTATTACAATTGGGCATTTTAATACCTTGCCAGTCGCCCTGGAATACTCCTCTATTACCCGTAAAAAAACCCGGCACAGGAGATTACCGGCCGGTACAAGATTTACGAGAGGTTAACTGGAGGACAGAGGACATACATCCCACGGTGCCGAATCCCTACAACTTGCTCAGCACCTTACCCCCAAGCCATGTCTGGTATACGGTGTTAGATCTAAAAGATGCATTCTTCTGCCTGAGGTTAAGCTCTCAAAGCCAGCCTATTTTTGCTTTTGAATGGAAAGATCCTGAGACGGGATTCTCAGGACAACTCACTTGGACAAGGCTGCCACAGGGATTCAAAAACTCCCCTACTTTGTTCGATGAGGCCTTGCATCGGGATTTGGCAGATTTCCGAGTTGGCCATCCGGACCTCGTCCTTCTGCAGTACGTGGATGATTTGCTCCTGGCGGCTAGGACAGAACAGGATTGTGTAAAAGGTACGGGGGCCCTGCTTGAGAGACTGGGAGAACTGGGGTATAGAGCCTCCGCCAAAAAGGCCCAAGTAGGCCAGAGACAAGTGACCTATCTGGGATATCTCCTGGAAGGAGGCCAGAGGTGGCTGACGGAGAGCCGCAAAAAGGCTGTAGCCCTGATCCCAGCACCCACTAATGCCAAAGGACTAGGAGAGTTCCTCGGCAGTGCTGGGTTCTGCCGCCTCTGGATACCCGGGTTTGCGGAGATGGCGGCTCCCCTATATCCTCTCACGAAATCCAACACCCCCTACCACTGGGGAAAGGAGCAGCAATTGGCTTTTGACAAAATAAAAAGGGCCTTATTGACCGCCCCTGCCCTGAGCCTCCCAGATGTAACCAAGCCTTTTACGCTATATGTTGATGAACATAATGGAATAGCCAAAGGGGTCCTAACTCAAAAACTGGGACTCTGGAAAAGGCCCGTGGCATACTTTTCAAAAAAAATTAGACAGCGTGGCTGCAGGATGGCCCCCATGTCTCCGAATAATAGCGGCTGTGGCAGTCCTGGTAAAAGACTCAGACAAGTTGACTTTTGGCCAACCCCTCACTGTGGTGGCCCCCCACGCCGTAGAGACAGTCATCCGCCAGCCCCCTGATCGATGGCTCTCAAACGCCCGGGTCACCCATTATCAGGCCATGTTACTGAATTCTGAGCGGATACAGTTTGGAACGGCTACATCTCTAAACCCGGCCACCTTGCTTCCAGAAACCGAGTCCCCCTCCCTAGTAATGCATGATTGCCACCAGATCCTAGCTGAAGTCCATGGCACCAGAGGGGACTTGACGGACCAGCCTTTGCCAGATGCTGAAGCAACCTGGTACACCGATGGGAGTAGCTTTCTACGAAATGGCTGGACAGAAGCTTTCCCCACCAAGCAAGAAACCGCCCAGGTGGATGTCAAGAAAATCCTGGAAGAAATTTTCCCCCAGTTTGGACTGCCCAAGGTAATAGGGTCGGACAACGGCCCCGCCTTCGTCTCCCAGGTAAGTCAGTTGGTGGCCAGATTACTGGGGATAAATTGGAAATTACATTGTGCATACAGACCCCAGAGCTCAGGTCAGGTAGAAAGAATGAATAGAGCAATTAAAGAGACCCTAACTAAATTGACATTGGAGACTGGCACTAGAGACTGGGTCCAACTCCTCCCTGTGGTTCTGTTCCGAGTCCGGAACACTCCCGCGCGCCATGGGCTAACTCCTTACGAGATTCTCTATGGAGGTCCCCTACCAGTAACGGACTTAATAGATTCTGCTATTGACCCTCTTGCTAACACTCCCGGTTTACAGGACAGGCTAAAGGCGCTCCAGATTACCCAGCACCAGATCTGGAAGCCCCTTGCGGCTGTCTACCGCCCCGGAGACACAACCGGCCCACACCCGTTCCAGATCGGGGACTCCGTCTACGTCAGGAGACATCAGTCCAGGACGCTTGAGCCCCGCTGGAAGGGCCCATATACTGTCCTACTGACCACCCCAACCGCCTTAAAGGTAGACGGCATTGCTGCTTGGGTCCACGCCTCACACGTCCAGCGCGCCCCATCAACGAGCACCGCTGACGCCAGCCAGGACGGACCGGACGAGCCGCTCCAATGGAAGCTCCACCGCACCCAAAACCCGCTCAAGATAAGACTTTCAAAAATTGTTCAATGACAGTTGTTATATTCCTACCTCTCCTAGCGCTCTTCACCTCCGCCAAAGGTGACCCTCATGCCCTCAAAAGGTTAACCTGGCAGGTACTAACGTCTGGGGGTGACGAGGTCTGGTCTATAACTAAGACCGCCCCCGTGGGAACCTGGTGGCCTGACCTATATCCTGACCTATGCAAGCTAACCATAGGGGCCCCTAGCCCATGGGACCTAGAGGGATACTTCGACACCTCTAGAGCCCCTAACCAAGAAAGCCCTCCAGGGCGACTGGGATTAGACCCATGGGGAGGATGTGGCACGCCTGACAGAAGGGCCATGCCAAGCACTCTTCCCTTTTATGTCTGTCCCGGGCACCACAGAGATCGCAGGCTAAATCCCACCTGTGGAGGAGGGGAATACCTTCTATTGTAAAAATTGGGGGTGCGAAACTACGGGGGATACAGAATGGAGGCCCTCCTCCTCCTGGGATTATATCACTGTCAAGGCTAACTATACTCACCCGACATTTAGCAAATGGAAAACCCTTAATTATGGGCCCTGCCAAGGGTGGTGTCATCCCCTACGGATATCCTTCACGGAGCCCGGAAAAAGGGCTACTTACTGGGCCAATGGATATACGTGGGGACTCAGGTTATACAAAGAAAGAACAGATGATGGTTTTATATTCAGAATTAAACTAAAAATAGAATCCCCAGACTCCGTGGCGATCGGGCCTAACGCGGTCCTCGGGAACAAATAGCTCCTGCTAAACTACCAGCCCCGGCCCTAGCCGCAGGGAGTGCCGCACCCACTAACTTCGCGGTCACTCCAACCCCTCGGTCGTCACCCGAGACCGGACAAATCTTATCATAGGGGCATTCCTGGCCCTTAATCGAACCAGACCCGATGTAACTAAATCCTGCTGGCTCTGCCTTGCACCACCCCCCCCTTATTATGAGGGAATTGCTACTTCAGGGACCTATAATAACATCACTAGCACTCAGGGATGCACACCCAACTCCCAACCACAATTCACCCTTACAGAAGTTACAGGACAGGGAACCTGCATAGGAACACCCCCCCGGGGCTACCAGAGACTCTGCAACACTACCACCCCGATTTTGGGGACTGATTCTTACCTGGAGCCCCAGCCGGGAACTTGGTGGGCATGCAACAAAGGCCTCACCCCCTGTGTGTCGGCTAAGGTTCTAAATAGCTCAAACGACTTCTGTGTCATGGTGCAGATCATACCCAGGGTGTTCTATCACCCTGCTGAAACTCTAGAAAATCAGTATGATAAACATCCCACCCGTTTTCGGCGCGAACCTGCTTCCCTAACCTTAGCCGTTATGTTGGGACTAGGGGTCGCTGCTGGGGTGGGTACCTGGCGCAGCTGCTCTGATCCAGGGCTCACGGCGTTATCTAGAACTCCAAACAGCTGTAGATGAGGATCTACGGACACTAGCGCAGTCCGTTTCTAAGCTAGAACAGTCCCTCCCCTCACTCTCAGAAGTAGCACTTCACAACAGGAGAGGCTTGGATTGACTAGTCCTGAAAGAGGGAGGACTGTGTGCGGCCCTGGGAGAGGAAGGCTGTTTCTATGCAGACCATTCTGGAGTCATCAGAGACTCCATGGCCAAACTCAGGGAAAGGTTAAATAAAAGACAAAGGGACCGGGAGGCCCAGCAGGGCTGGTTTGAAAGCTGGTTTAATCAGTCTCCCTGGTTGACCACCCTAATCTCTACCATTCTGGGCCCTCTAGTTATCCTGCTCCTGCTGCTAACTTTCGGCCCCTGCGTCCTCAACCGGCTGCTCCAGTTCATCCGAGAAAGATTGTCTATTACCCAAGCTCTGGTATTAACTCAGCAATGTCGGGCCCTCCAAACTGAAAAAAAAAAAAAAAGTTCCCTAAGATTTTAAGGTTAAAATCAGCCCAAACAAGAGGAGGGAATGAAGAAACCTCCCCCCTTGTAAGTAGGGCCAGCCCTAATCCAGAGGCAGCCCATCCAGTCTTCTTCCTGAAATTTTAGCAACTAAAAGCATTCTGTTTACAATAAGAAAACCGTTTCCCCCCCCCACACACCCTGATTGGAATGTCCCTGAATAGGTTCATGTTGACCCTCCCCAAAATCAACCTGGATGCCATGCGACTCCCGCGGTTCTTTTGTCTTTAGGAAGGTTCTTTCCTTTTGCCTTTTAAAAGACACCTGTAATTGCTAATCGGGGCTCTTTTCCTCTTCGGAGGCGGAGAGCCCGTTTGCGCAAACGTTCAATAAACCCTCTTGCTAATTGCATCTGCCTGTCTGGGGTCTGAGTCTCTGGGGCGTCCACCGGGCCACGTTGGCACCCGTGAGCCAGGGTCCAACACTACTAAGTGTGATTTTTAACCACTAGGAAGCAGCGAAATGAACTACGTGCATTACACTAGAAAAACCTAGCTAGCCTTAATCCCCAAATAACATTGAGGTATACGCTGCTCAGTTTTCTTTCTTCTTTCTTTCTTTTTCTTCCTTCCTTCCTTCCTTCCTTCCTTCCTTCCTTCCTTCCTTCCTTCCTTCTCTTCTCTTTCTTTCTTTCTTTCTTTCTTTCTTTCTTTCTTTCTTTCTTTCTTTCTTTCTTTCTTTCTTTCTTTTCTTTCTTTCTTTCTTTCTTTCTTCTTCTTTCTTTCTTTCTTTCTTTCTTTCTTTCTTTCTTTCTTTCTTTCTTTCTTTTTCTTTCTTTCTTCTTCTTCTTTCTCTTATTTCCATATTTGAGAATATTTCCCTGACACGTTTTCCCAGCATCCACCACCAACCTACCAAGAGGATGCATATCTCAAAATCCTACCCCTTCTGTTGGCTTTCCTCTATTCCAAGCCGGCTCAGAGGATTAATATCATTTCCCTTTGGGTATTTCTGCTTCTATTCTATGTTATTTAACTCAACTACTCATTTTAAACAATGATTATTATATTTTACACAGTATTCTTGGGCATTTATACTGCAAAGGACCTCAAGCTATCTTTCTTATTTGTCTGCTCTAACTATAATGCCTTATTATGGCCCTTCTCAAACTGCAATATCTTGTAAACTTTATTAAACACAATAGATTATCTTTTCTTGGGTGCCTGGGTGGTGAGTCAGTTAAGCATCCAACTCTCGATTTTGGCTAAGGTCATGATCTCAGGGTCATGAGATGGGGCCCCAAATTAGGCTCTGTGCTCAATGAGGTGTCTGCTTAAAATTCTTTCTTTCTCTCTCCCTTACCCATTCCCCCTCACACACACACACACACACACACACACACACACTCTCTCTCTCTCTCTCTCTCACTCTCACTCTCTCTCTCTCAAACAAATAAATAAATCTTTAAAAAATTATCTTTTCCCTTTTCTGAATCTAAATAATGGTTATTGTCTGTCTCTCTTTTATATACCTTTTTATCTAATTTTATCATTTTGGACACATACACACACACACACAGAATCACATCTTCTAAGGTAGAAACTAAATCTTGAGTATAGTCAATATATTCCTAAAGAACCCCAAAACTGTTTTCCAAAATAAACTGTATTTTTATATAATTTTACCACTTCCTGTAATTATCAGTCTTTTTTTTTTTTACTTTTCCTTCACCCCCTCCCTGCCCATGACATTCAATTAGTTTTTTATTTCTGAAAGGAGCACATTATTACTAAATTAATTAGGAGGTTGAAATAACCCACCACTTTTAATTATTGCTCTGTTATTTTTTCATTTCTTCTTTCCTTCTTTCCTGACTTCCTTTCTTTTTCCCTTTGTCCCTCCCTCCTTTTTTTTTCCTTCCTTCATTCCCTGTTTCTTTTTCTTGGTAAGCTTAAGGAGTTTAATTTGTATAATTTCTGTATAAAGAAGTGTTATTATATTTGCTCTAACTGTTCAAGTAGATCATAAAGGGCAGCCCCAGTGGCTCAGCGGTTTAGCGCTGCCTTCAGCCCAGGGAGTGATTCTGGAGACCCAGGATTGAGTCCCATGTCAGGCTCCCTGCATGGAGCCTGCTTCTCCCTCTAAGTGTGTCTCTTCCTCTCTCTCTCTCTCTCTCTCTCTCTCTCTCTCTCTATGTCTCTCATGCATAAATAAATAAAATCTTAAAAAAAAAAGATCATAAGTGTTTTGGTGACACTGAGTCTACATAGATTCCCTTGCATCTAAGCAATATTATTTAGACTTTGAATAAAGGATTGCTAAATATTTGTCTTGTGAAATTAATCATGAATGGCTACATATTGTTATTTTCTGCTATCTTGTTGTTTCTTCCTTAGAAATACTAAATAATCCCCTTGCCACAAATTCTTCATATGCAAAACCTTGGACAGTCTCACATTATTATATATGCTTTCACTTATCAGTACACTGCCAATACTTCAGAAAAAAATGGTATTGTAATAAAAGGAAAGCAGCTATAAGAAAATTTCTGGGCAAGACACTTCGTAAGACTTTAGAAAGTAAATCAAATAAAAATAATTCATGAACGACGAAGCATGAATTCACCAGCTTAATATTGTAAAAAAAAAAAAAACCAAACAAACAACATTTGAAGAAGAGGTCTCAATAATATTGCCTAATGTTTCATTCCTATAGGATAACTTAGTAAATCATATGTTTTAGGGGTCTTGGTTTTTTACCATTTTTTCTCCAATTCTTTTATATAAGAGTATAGTGGTCTTTAATTGAGATTTTTTTTTCTTTTTCTCTATGGCAATAAGTACAGAAACTTCCAATGAAAACTGTCTTTTAAACCTATTCCTGAACTCTGTGAAAGTGCTTATTGTATTTTATTTTAGCCGCTTAGCTATTAGCCTGTCAGTCACAAAGAAAGTGAAATCAATTAACAAGGTATCAACCACTGTGCTAGCACTTGCTCACATTTTTCTCTTCCACCTAACAGAATCTTCTCAGCATCTGAATGGATGCTAATTCGCAGGCATCTGATTAATAGAATAACAAATATCTTTTCATCTGATTTCATGTTTTTAACATAGGCAAGCTCTAGGTGGTTTCTAGTAGTGGAGTTTAGTAAGGATAACATTCATAAAATTCAATCATTAGCTTTCAGAGTTTCAAGTAATTATCATGGTAGACATTTTGTATACCTTTCCAAATAACAAAAAGGGTTTTTTTTGAGTTCAATATGAATTTTTGCAAAGAATACATTTCAGAAATATTAACCTATTTACAGAACAAAAAGTAAATCAGCAAGTAAAAATAATTTTGAAATGAAAAACTTTATAAATTCTAAATATTCATTGTCACAAATTAATGCCAAGTATTAGAGGATTAAGAGTAACTAAACCAAACTATCCCTAAATAGTAAATTCATTATTTACAATTTGCTTATAAATATCAACATTCTTGTGAGAATATAAATGAGAGACTTTAAAAGAATATTGATGTTTTGAAAATAGCTTTTAGAAAAAAAAAACAAAAAAACAAAGTGATTTTATGTCCTGAAGTGAAGACTCTTGGAGGCATTTTTTTCACATGGCCTGTCAAAATCTATACCCAAACCATAAGTGGATGTCTGAGTAATAATTTATCTACCTTTATATGATTTGTCAGGTTTTATTTTTCAAAACAAGAGTTGGTTGACATCAGCGATGTCTTTAGTTAAAAATATTTTCTGTTCTTTACCCAATGTATGTGTAGAGTGCTTTGACAGATTATATAAACATTACTAAATAA